AAGGCTGGTCCTCCATCAGATGTATTCTATCAAAAATCATGTTAAAATAGACTAGGTTATTGTTGTGAATGACTACATAATTAAGACTAAGAGGAAGGAGGATGTGCCTCTGCCTTATGCTTTACTTCTGTCAAGATTTTTTGGTGTTTGTGGAGTGGATTTGTCTAGAGATAAAAAGATTGTTTTGTACCAATCTAACAAAATAGGGAAAACTTCATTTCATCACATGGGTTTGCACATTCAGGAAGGACAATGGGTCTTCAAGGGTGAAGAACAAGTTCCCGATCCTAAAACTGATGAAGATGGAGTTTCTCAGCAAGACTAAGAGCAACCTGAAGCAAATGTTGAACTTGAACCTAAACATGAACTCAAGCCATTTTCGAATATAAAGCAACTGTTGATCAACAAGATGGATGTTATACTAGAAATTAAGGAACATTAGGCATGAATCCGTGTTTAATGATATGCTGAACAAATTTGATGATCTTCACTTTGAAGTGGCACAAATCAAGCACAATCTAGGCATAGAGGATGATTCAGACTAGTTACTTAGTTCTTATGATCATCTAGTTACTTAGATTAGTTACAACTTAGTAGTTTTAGTTTCATTTTAATTTTAGTTGGTTTATGGTCTATGATGTTTTCAAATTTCTGAACAATTTAGTTTGTGATGTTTTTAATTTCTTAATGTTATGCACAATTTTCATTTTAGTTCAATTTGATTGAAACACCTTCATGTTTTATGGATTTGGCATAGATTAGTATGAATTCTTGAATGTTTTAAACAATTTCATGTTGTTTTTAAAATAAGTATGATTAAAATTAGTTATAACTTAGAATTGTTATATTGTTGAAAGACTTAAAAACTGATTAGTATGATGTCTAACATAACTTAACACTAAAAATTTTCATGATTTAGACTACTTGTATGTTAAGTGTATATAACAAGTGGTTCATATTGAGTAAAATATGCAAATGAATATGATATTTCTCTCAAGTTTGGGACTTTTAGACTTCGTATGGATTTGTTTTTGATGATGTCCAAAGGGGGAGAAAGGTATGTAATTGTTTTGCAGGGTAAGTGTACAAAGTATTGAAGCAACAAGAGTATGAATTTTGGTTTAAAAGAAAGAAGAGCACAAATGAGAATCAAAACAAGTAAAAGGGAGATTTGTCATCATCAAAAAGGGGGATTCACCTTCTCTAATCTGTTTTGTAAATCAAGTGAGTTTGTTCCTTAATTCTCTATATTTGTAGTTATCTTAAGTAGGTTTCTTAAGAGGAGAGAATCTTGTAGTGGGGTGCTACAAGTAGGTGCTTCTTGCAAGAAGTGTTTTCTTTAATAGTGTAGAAGTATATTGCATGTTGTATTGTGATTGTAAAACTTTTGACATTAAAGATTAGTTGAAAATCTCAATCGGGTTGATTGGGGACTGGATATAGGTCATAAGTGGATGTAGCTGAACCAATATAAAATTGGTTGTGCATTCTTCTCTCTCCCTACTCTTGAATTCATATTCTTGCATTTCTGATGTCATGCCAATTGATATGTGTTGTTAGGCATGTTCATTGCATTGAGAATCGAATGAATCTAGACTTGTATTAAATTTGAACTAAGTATCCTATCTAAAAGCTATAAGTCAACACACTTCTTTGGAAAAATTTAGAAAAGTTTTAAAAACCAAGAAAGCTGCACAAGAAACTTTGAAAAACCAATTCACCCTTCCTCTTGGTTATTCCATCTTTTCTAACACAAAGATCACTAGATATTAACTGAAAAGGAGTAGAATATGTAGTCAGGGAAGCATGTGAAGTAGATGATGTGCTTTGCCTATATATCTAAGTAAAAACACCAATATAAGACACATACAAAAGTCAAAAAGGAAAATAAGTGCATACGAAGTTGCTTCCTAAAATGCACTATCAGTGGGTCAATTGTTAAGAATTGTTGTTTTTAAGTTGTGAAGTTAGGGTTCTTCAAGTGTTAGGAATTTTGTGACCCAAGGAAGTTAAAATTGATGAGTCTTGATGTTGCATGTAAGAATTGATGTTGAGTTCATGATATATATCTAGTTTAGATGTTTCTTGATGGTTTGCATGTGGTAAATCATTCTTGTGGTGGATGGATTTGATGAGAGAATATGAAATCCCATGAAGGGGATTCATAATCTCCCTTAGCGGTGATGAATGCTCGCTCAACGTTTATCCAGATTTGATGATCCTTTGCCCAGGATCACATTCTCACTCAACGGTGTGATTGTCACCCATCAGTAATGCAACTCTATGGTAGCTTCTATTAAAGCTTGCCCAACGAGACATAGTGCCCAATGAGGGAACTCATAGGGGGTTCAAGTTACCCAACGAGTTATGGTCGCCCAAAGAGAGGACTCACAAAATGCTTTTGTTTACCCAACGAGCTTTTGGCTACTCAAGGACAAGCTTTAGAGGAGTTTGGCCGCTCGACGAGTCAAAGTGTGCTTAGCGAGAAAAACCATAGAGAGATTTTCTCGTTGAGCAAGAGTAGCTCACCCAATGACAAGCTCTAGAGAGATTTAATTGCTCAACGAAGCTATCCCTCACCCAACAAGAGCTCTATTTTGTGAAAATTATATATTATCTTCTTTTACATATTTTGTTGACATAAGTTGATGATGATTGACACTAGTTCATAGTATGTTGATGTATGATGTATGATGAATTATGTTGTTTTAAGATGAAAGTTTTATGTTGTAAGTTGTTTAGTTGTGATGAAGGGTGTGATGCATGTTTTTAAGTTGAAAGTTGCATAAAAACTAGGGGAAAGAAAAGTTATTTTAGAATTTAAAATATCTCATAGTGTGGATATAAGTTATGGTGCTCTGAGAGTCTAAAAAGTTGAAAACCCTTCAATGAGTAAGTTGCTTCATGATTGGGAGATTGTTTTAAAGTTATCTCCTCTAGATTTTTAAGTTGAAACAATATGGTGGAGGCCAAACCATACTTGTCATAAGTGACCAACGAGTAAGGTACAAATTTATGGGTCAAAATCTCTAACTAAGTATTGAAAAGATGCATAATATTTTGAGGATAGCCAACAGAATAATTTCATATAGGTTTAGTTATGCATGTTAAGCCTGTGACAGACTCATCCACAAGTTATTTTATTCTTGACAGTAGTACTGGACTTTCTCAGTGTAAGTGGCAAAACTTGAGAAACCAAAATAAGATGAATTCTGGTCACCAAGCTAATCATTGTTTTTTATCATTATGCCTATCGTTGTGATTCGATAGGGTCAAGTCACTTAAACTGTTCACTAAGTTGTGGGAGATCTCTAAAAGTTGATGTGCGTGATGATGCATCAGCTGATTAAAGTTGTTTAATTGCTCAGAGGATTTATGTTGTTATGTTATGAATGTTGTTAAAGTTGTTGTTATGCTTTTAAGTTGTAAAGCTAAGTTGTTGCTAAAGTTGTGTATGTTGTTTACAAATGTTTACTTCTTATATATAATGTTTCTTTCACAAGCTTACCCTTACTTTTCCATATTGTTGGATTATTATGATCATAATTGTTATAAGAGGGGTCAAGATTAAGTTAGTGGGCATGCTTGGTGGATGACCATGTTGGAGATGACACTTTCTTTTGTTTAGTCGTTTTGAAACATGTATATAAAGACTCTTGATCAATGCTAGAATTTTATGTTTTCAGTACTTATTTATTAGATGCATATGTGTATATATGTACATGGTTTATAGTCAAAATTTTATATATTTTTTATATATTTGAATATTTTTTTGTAGCAATTTTTTCATCAATCAGCCCTATATATTAAACGCAACTAGCTATCTTACACAAGAGTATTTTTATAGATAATTTTTCGATGGGAATGCTTTGAAGGATTTTTTTAACTTCCTATCAAATTCTATTTTTTTATTTCTCATATTAATTTATGACTTAATTTTAATATTTTTAAAATAAATTATCAATAATTAAAATAATATATTTACTATTTAAAAATATTTATTTATAATAATTTTAAATATAATTTATATATATATATTCAAATATAGTATTTATTTATATACAATTTATTATAAATTTTTGTTATATATAATAAATATTTTACCTATAAAAAACATAGGTTAAAATATAGTTATAATTTAAATTATAGAGTGATTTTGTTCTATTTGATTTCATCCTATTCAGAATGGAACCAAAATGCCCCGTTTTAAAATTCAGATATCCTGTTTTGTGCTAGTTTTAAAAAGGGTCAAACATAAAAAAAAACCATATATCATGTTGTGCATTGATCTTAAGATCTTGTTTTCCAAAAAAGTCTCAATAGATACTGAAATTTAAAATGTAAAAGAAAATAAACTTTTCTCATAAATTAAGCAAAAAGAAATTTAAAGAAGCAAAATAAGACAACTTGCACATAAATTTTAATTTAAACGAGAAACTTATCTAATTTTACCGTATTATTTTCTTCTTTCTTCTCCATGCAAGTTATTGAAAATTTCATCCAAATATAACCTAACTCGTTTACCAAACAATACCCTGTCCAGTTATTCACAAAATGTTTATCGTTTGATTAAAGGACTAACGTGTGTTTTCCAACCTACAAAGTCTTTCACAAAACAATAACCAATACTTCATTCATCATGATTCGAGGGGTAAAATTTCAAGCCAGAGTACTTAACTGTGTTTTCATGAGTAGAGAACAGAGATTATAAATTGAGATGCATTCCACTCTTAAAGAAACAGAATGTCAGTGAACCTCTGAGGTCAAAACCAAATATAGAGTTTAACTTGTATTATGCACATGATCTTAAGTTCGAACTTTATTGTCTACATGTAATTCTTACAGATAAAAGAATAATAAAAAGTCAACGAATCCCGCTCAGAAGTTGAACAAAAATCAGTTTCGATGAATTTCAGGCAGTGTTATATATAAGTAATCAATAATCATTTACAAGGATCCAGCTGCTTCTGAACAGTTTTGCTTTTCCATTTTACAATGAGTTTGCACATTTCATCAATTAATTCAGTCAATCAATAGATTCAATACATTTCCAAGTACCAAAATATAGCACAGTTTGGTCTTGGACAAAAATCCACTTTTCAACTTTAAGTTAAAAAGATTAGATAAAAACAACTATTTACAAAATTTTGATGGTTTAGAAGTTACTAGCCAAAACTAGTACATGCAAATTTTCCCAGATCTTTGCTCTCTATTAATGTTATGTCGTTTGCCACATAGCCACCATGAATATGCCTTCAAAGCTTCCCCTGGCTACCTTTAAAACCCTCCAAAACTACGATGTGACTGCAGAAGAATGCCACATGGAAAGCACAAAAGCCACTAACACACCAAAAGTATTACAAACGACATGCAACCTCAATATTCTAAATAATAAGCATGAAATGATTCAGTGTGAATATAATAAACACAAATCTTCAATGTTAGGTTCACATGGTACTCTGTAATTTGCATACATGTATTGTATGTAGCAGTTATTACATTCACAAGTCCATCATGCTATACAGGTATATACAATACAATAGTCTAGCCTTTCATATTTCCTTTGGACATTTGTCAGTGGTAATAGTCAAGAAAAGTAAAATCCCAACCCAGAAAAGTAATTAACTGCCCATTTATGAGGTGGGTTTCAGTGCAACAACAAACAGCACAAACCATCAGTTACAAGTTGACCAACAAGGATCATTACCTGATGCAAGACCCAAAAAAATTGAGGGTACTTTTGGTTATTTATTTATTCCATTCATGTTTTTAAATTATATAATACCAAAAGAAGCCACCTTAGATTATTCTATTTTCTTCTTTCAGAATTTTGCAGTATATGGTGAAAATACTACCCTGAAAACAAAGTGGCTATAATTATAATAAAAGGTACTATCAACTAATTATGATAAGATGAAAAATAAACCAAACACCCACTGAGAGATTCGTATAATATTCAATAGTATTCGAATTATGTGATCTTACTAGAAGCATACAGATGAACATTTCTTATCAATTACAGATGAACATTTCTTATCAATTACAGATGAACATTTCTTATCTATTCAGTGTTGCAAACCTTTCCATATTCATTCCAATTCACCGAGTTAAATTCAATGGCTTTTCATCCTACGGCTCAAATATTACAACTTCCACCAACCTGTAAACCTGTATACACATTACAACTTAATTCTCTCTGCATTTCTCTGTAAATTGCACAGTTGCTTAATGGAATCATTGCAGAAAACCAAGGGAAATGGCAAAATCACTGTTTAAAAGTAAAAACAAAGACATTTTTTCTGAAAGAACCTGAAGATTGGTTACCAGATCATTTCTTTGCATAATTAACAAATTCAAATGGTTGAGATTCAAAATTTTAACCATCTTCCTGTACCCCCAGTCCATACATGAGAAACATAAACAACAAGCCATTTGGAGGTAACTAGTATCAATTTGTCAGACTTTGAACAAGTAACTAAGTAACTAACAAACTCACCAGTCACTATGTACTCTGGAACACTGTTTAACAGTTATAAGATGATTAGCAAGATCGTGGTTATATGCATCCAACATTCCCTCCAAGTTGTTCTATTAAATTTTCAAAGACATTAGGCTTATAATTCATAAACTATAAAATAATTCCTGATATCAGATGCCATGTCATAAAACTACTCAAATCTGACAGAGACAAAATATCTCAATAATCATTCGTACAAAAAAGACTCTGAATATTAATTGATGTCAAAATTTAAAAGTCTAACATGATTAGAAATTCATTTATTGTCACCAAAATTAATTTGAACTAAAAAGTGATGCGAGTTATAGGTTGACATCATGAATAAAATAGAAAACAAAATAACTACAGGTAATGGTGAAATTCGGAGTCATGGAGTTAAAGCATCGAAGGAAAATTTAATTGACATGTTATTAATATTGAATTCAATCAATCCTCATATTCTAAAAATACATACAGAGCAACCCTTCGGTTCTTATACATGTCTTAGTCCCTTGATCCCAGCTACGCAACAGTGTCCCTGCAAAACTTTCCGAGTCTTCTTTCTCATTGGCTGCAAAGCAAGCAAAAAGCCTTAAGATCTCTAGCAATGATAAATACAGCCAACACCAATGCTAAACATACAACAGTGCAACCAATCCTGGGCCTCATTTGGTACTACCCTTGGTTGCAGATAAATGAATCTCCGAATCATCCTAACCCTGCAAATAGCAGAGATAAGACATTTGGGGCGTCATCTGGTTAATCCTGGCAATAAGAACAGAGTTAAGTGTGCCAATGATCACCAACCATTGCCGAGCCATCAGAACCAGAAGAAGAAGACCCAATATTTTCTTAAAAAATCTTCAAAGATGTGTTATTCCTCAAATGATTGCATAGAAATTTTCTCCAACTGTAGCGGCCAATCTTCTCCAAGTTGCTGTGGATTTAGCTCCATAGCAACCTTAAAATCACGTAAAGATACCGAGACTGGTGATCTGTGCTCAGGCTCGGGTTCTGCCATCCCACAAGCACTCTGCACATGTAAAGGATTATTTGGCCAGACACCATTAATGACTTTCCCCTGAATCTGCTGTTTCGAGACAGGTTGTTTCCTTGGCTCATTTGGAGACCTAGCTCCCACTAAATCAATACAAGATCTGATCAACCGTTTCAAGTAAACATCTAAAACATTATTCAATGTATTTGCACATTCCATAGAAACACTTCCTAGACCCTGCACTGTAGCGATCTGCTCCATGCGCTTTCTCAATGTATCTGTATCAGATAACCTACCATTGTCACAACAACTAATAAAATCACCAGTGCTATTCACTGGCAATGCTTTGCGGGCCCCACCAACACTTGCAGTGCAATAAGGGATCCCAAGCGGTGCTATCAAGGGACTTCTAGAGAAATTGAGGCGGTTTAACTGCTCCACCTCTTCCCCATCTTCAACAATTGATACTGCAGTTGGCCCCTTGCCATGTATTCTTGGTTTTTGTGCAGGTATTTGAATAACATCCCCCATACCATTCTCAGGTAGCTCATCAACTGCCTGAAGATGCTGCATAGATCTCTGATAATCACATGGAGTACGAATTCCATTCTCCATATCAACCTTACTACCACTATCTTCTGTAGCTGTGGATTGATGAGCAACTGAATCAACTTTTCCATTTGGTCCAAGGGGGCTTGGCCTATCTTTAAGCTTGCGATGCACTCCAGACCTTAACTTACGTGGGGAAACTGGCAAAACCCCATTGGACCAAATGGAAGCATTCGGAGTTTGGAAGTTAGTGACACTCTGTTCATGTCCATCCTCTCTTCCAGGAGATACATTATTGGCAAGTGCTCCTAATTTGGGAGGACCTGTCAACTGGGCTGGCGGTGGTGGGGTCTTGGCTTGGTAGGCATTCTTCAAAATTGACGTTATAAAGTGATTGTGTAATGGAATATTCTCCCTGCCAAGCACCCTATAACATGACCTGTTGAATTCAGTCTTGCTCAGCTTCTGACTCAGAAAACGGTTCAAGTAATAAAAGTACCGCTTAGACTTATCCGTTCCAATTCTCTTCACAATCTGCGCTTTCAATTCGGCCAAATTGATTCTCGAGCTCAGCTGGGGTTGCATTTCTCAATAAACAGAATCATACACCGCCCAGCAAATCAAAATTCAACCCACCCACACACAGCAGCCTCAATTCGAGCCAAATCGCAGCTACTTCCGCTTCCAAAGAAGCCAAAACTTCCCCTCCCCCATATCATTCAACCCCAAATCAACTACAACAACCTCTGGACATCACAACAACCAGATGCAGCACAAACCATCCCAACAACATTAACCCAACAGAAAGCAACAATTTTGAACCCAAATACCGTTACCCTTTTGCCCAAATTTCACATACCAAAACACCACACAATGCAAAGCCAAATCCCAACTTCCCCAACCCCAAAACCCTAGAGATCAAACCGCAACAGAACACACTAAAACCAAATTCAATTCAACAAATTGAACATCAAATCAAAACCCTAAGTTTAAAGCACCACGAAGCGAACGCTATAACATCACTTGCACCAATCTAGAAAACCCCCATTGCTTCGCGAAATTCCCTAC